ACAAATCGCGGTACAACAATCTATGTAAAAAGAAACACGTTCCACAATTTGCAACGCACCAGCGAAAGACATAAGCAATCGAAATTCAAAGGCCTTGCGTGAAGAAGCTCCGTTGACGCTACCGCATTGGATTTACGCCCCACTGCCTTGTAGGTCGGATTTTTGAGTTGAAGGCTCCTGTTGGGGGTCCCAAAGAAAAACCCATAAGTTCCAGCTGCCTCGCGGTACAGATTCTTGAGTCGAAGGTTCCGGTTACAGTTCCCAAGGAAAAAATCATTCGTCGGTGTGGGCTACCGCGAAGTATGTCGTGCCCTAAAGTCTTAAGCACCTATTTCCAAAACCCTCCTTCCCCGTCTAGTTATTCTTCTCAATCCCGAATAATCCCAGACGCCTCCTGTTTACGCCATCAATCGAATATCACTCGGCGTTTTACCAGCAAGGCCAAACAATCAGAAGTTACGAGATTTTTGAAGCCGCGTTCAATTTCCGCAAACTCCATAAGAGATTGGTCAACAAGCTGCCTTGGCTAGAACCCCTCAAACTTCCAATTTAGATGTATGTTGTGTCACCGAAACACATATACAAGACCTTACTGCAATCATTTCCCTGCGTTCTCCTAACCTAACCTCAACCTCACGCTTGACCCTTCGTGTGTCAGGCGATTCGGTATCCGAAGCTAGCGGTGTTGCTGGTGTTGGGATTGCGCTAAGTACCAAGGCTGACCGCTCGCTTCTTGACTGAATTCCAGTCAGTAGCAGACTGTGCGCTGTACGTCTCAACGATTCAGCACTAGTCAACAGCTACAGAATGAAGCGTCGATGCTTGTTCGTCGTATCGGAGTATGCACGGATCCACTGCAGTACACCTGAAATCAAGAATGAATTCTACAAGGATCTTTCTCAATTACTCCTAAGTGTTCGACCAACGGAAATCGTGGTAGTCGCCGGAGAATTCAATGCTGAACTGGGATACCTGGACGAATCAGAAAGGCTTCTTGGTGGACCGCATGCAATTCCAACCAACCGGACGGACAACGGAGATTGCCTACTTAAACTCTGCGCGGACCACGGATTGATCCTGTCAAACATTAAATTCTCGCACAAGAAACGACATCAGCTTATATGGAAACCGCCAACCTCTTCACAGTGCTGGACCCAGATAGACCACATCGCCATCAGTTACTGCTGGAGTGGATCAATTCAAGACTGCCGCTCTTACTGGTCAACAGCTGTGGATACAGACCACGCCTTGATACAAGCCAAATTCTCCTTACGCCTGACAAACAACCACAAAAAAGCCACCGACAATCGAGACCCATGGTACAGCGTCTGCGATTGCTGCAAATCGGCCTTCGAAGCGGAGCTCTCCGATCGCCTGTCAGTTCAACCACCAATCGAAGGACTCAATGGACATTGGAAGCAAATCACGGAAGCTATGCAAGTATCAATAAAAACAACATCGGACCCTGGCACATGTTCAAAACACAAACGATGGATTTCGTCGACCTCGGCTGCCCTGCTGAACACCCGCAAAAGCCCTCCCTCCGGATGCTACATATGACACAGCTCGCAAATCTCTTAAACGCCGGCTCAGCACGAGTCTGAGGAATGACCGCGAGAAGTGGTGGGTAGGAAAGTGTAGAGAGATGGAGAAGGCTGCGGCTATTGGTAATAGTCGCAATCTTTTCTATCTAATTAGGAATACGGGCCCCAGGAAATAAGGCGTGAGTGAGGTAATTAAGGAATCCAATGGCACACTGATTCACGATTAGCAACGCCGTCTTGATCATTGGGCTGAACAGTTCAAGGCTCAGTTCAACTGGCCCCCATCGACATCTGATCTGTCACCCTCCACTTTGACGGGGCAAATACTCCCAATTGATGCCAGTCCTGCATCTGAAATGGAGGTTTCCCGGGAAATAAGTTATCTAAATAAGCATAAAGCCTCCGGCCCAGACGGGCTGTCGCCATCGGCTTTCAAGGATGAAGGCTCAGCCCCGGTTTCGGAGTAAACAAAACTCCTGAGCTTAGTGTGAGAGAGGGAAGACGTTCCAACGGAATGGTGCGCATCGACCATCATACCGATTTACAAGAAAGGTGATAGATCCTCTTGTGAAAATCACAGAGGAATTAGTTTGGTCAACATCATCTCTCTTAGACTCCGTCGACCGCTCTAAACTCTAGCGCTACCTTTCCCAGAAGGATGTGCCCGAGAAATTAATTTCAATAGTACAATCCCTCTATACTAATAGCCCAAGCCGAGTCCGAGCTTAAGGCACTTTTTCACCCGAGTTCACCATGGAAAGTGGTGTTCCTTAGGGTTGCCCTCTCTCTCTCTGAATCCATCTAACTTCGTTACAGATTTGATTATGGAAACAGCCCAACCCTCGTGTAAGGATAGAGGCATCGATTTACTCCCAGACAGGCTGTCTGACCTAGCGTACGCAGACGAAATTGTGCTGCTAAGTGAAGATTCAGGTAAGTTGCACGCCTTTCTGGATAGCTTGAGTGCCAGTGCAGCCGTGTGCGGTATGCGCTTTTCACATTCAAGGTGTATAATTCTCTTCCATGACTGGGTTGGTTCACTACCCAGACTCACTCTAACTAGAAAGTAATAGAGCAAGTGGATACGTTTTGCAACTTGGGTAGCTACATCACACCAAGTAGACGCATCACTTCTGCCATGGCCTGTAGTGGAGTACCACAGCGCTCGGTACTTGGGCCTTAGCTGTTCGTAACCTTTATTAACCAACTAGCTTAAAGGCTACAATCTCCGTGCTTCCTGTTTGCCGACGGTGCCAAAATTGTAAGTAGGTCAACCGGGGATGTCATACAGCAAGACTGAAACACGCTCTATACCTGACCCATGGGCCTGGGGCCTACCACTAAACGCCGGCAAGTGCAGGCACTTAGTGTCTGACGGTGTTCCTGCGGCGCGCTACCTTAACCCCGATAAACCCCAGGTAATGCAGCGCACAGAGACTATGGAGGACCTAAGGGTGCTTATGCACCAGTTCTTCAAGCCATCACCACATTGTTCTGATGCTGCTGGGAAGGCTCGGAGGGCACTGTTCCAGTTGCGACGCACTGCTGCATCCAGGGATCCGGCTTTTCTGCTTCCCCTATACAAGGCGTTCGTTCAACCCCACTTAGAGTATGGAGTCCAGGCATGGGAACCAACTAAAATTGGAGACGCAAACACCCTTGAAAGGGTACAGAGGAGATTCACCGAATTCCTCCCAGATCTTCAAGGATTGACGTATATATATATATATATATATATATATATATATATATATATATATATACCGAGAGAGAGAGAAATTGTGGAAAGCGCACGGTTGATAATTGTAAAAACCTAAAATGGACGATCGCCAGCTGGGTCGATAGACTCGCATTGCTGATGAGACCCAGGTCGAAACACCTGTTCAGTGCTTCCGAACGTTTCAGCTTACACCTCGTTTTCACGAAGAATTCATCATCTATTCAAATCAAACCGTCCAGTTCTCTTACGTAATCATTTGTTTCGGACCTACAATATAAAAACAGTTGTGCT